AGATATGCTTCAATGTTTTAACTTGTGGTTTGCCAATTTAGCCAGGGACAGACTCACATACTCATGAGTGGGGGATGGTGACCTGGCTCATTTTTTTTTTTTTTCATTGGTTTGCTTTATTTTTTGCTTTGACTAAGATGTATTTGTATTAATGTTTCTAGATTTGACCCTAATCATTTACTTTTATTCTATTTTATATTATATTATTTTGAATTTGCTGCCTCTAAAGTTAATTCCTGGGTCTGTCCCTAAATTTAGCAATATCTTAAAACCCACATCAAACTTTAAATTTGGAAATTCATCATAAACATAGCGGATGCTGTCCATTGACACTTTTGGAAATTTTGGTTAAAAGTGTAATTTGTCTTGTTTTTCTTTTTATTTCAATGGCATATCTAATTCTTTACGTCTTGCATATGCATTCTTTTAGTCTACAGTGAACAACCTTTTAATTTTGCTGTAAACAGTTAGAACTCTTTAAAGATTTGAAATTCTTGGTCATCAAACGCAGGCACTTTCTTCCTATGTGTTCATTGCTGCTAATATTATCCTCAATGCATCTAAAGCAGTTCAGACTATGCATTTGGATGAATTACTTCCTCCCATAGTTCCATTATTGACCTCACATCACCACAGCTTACGTGGTTTTACCCAGGTTAGTTTATTCAGAAGCTGATGAGTGCAACCTTTTTCTATTCCCTGGTTAGTTATGTTATAGTCTAGTGTTGTCACTGGATGTAGTCATATGATTAAACTTTCTGATATCCATTTACAGTTGCTGGTATACCATGTTCTTTGCAAATTGTTTCCTCCTGAATCTGAAACCTCTCAATTAATGCCTTTAGAGAAAAGGTGCTTTGAGGATTTGAAATTGTACCTGGCGAAGAACTCTGACTGCATGCGGTATGGAAACATATCCCGTATATCGCTGCGAATTTTTCTGTTTCCAGTACTTTTGACTGTTGACAACCTTTCACAGTTCTTTCAATTTTATTTGATTGAATATTGAAGAAACGTTCCTAAACTTATCATTAATGAATCTCTTCAGACATAAATTTTATATTTGTGCTCAGTTTTGTCCGGGTCTACAGGTACTTATATGCTTGTGCGCATGGTGTGCGTGACTAACTTGAAAAACCTTCAAATATCATGGTTTTAGCTCTATATATGATGTTTATAACTTTGGTTTATTTTTGTTTTTTCAGCTTGCGAACATCGATGGAAGGGTACCTTGATGCCTACAACCCAAATCTTTCCATTACTCCAGCTGGAATATTTGTCAATCGGGTTGAGGTTAGAGATTACTTGATTAAAGTTGAATAATAAATCTACGATGTTATCTCTTTTGGGGTAGAAGCATAGGTGGCACTGTCGTGGACAACCCTAAGAAATGTTTTATTATAATTTGGGTAATAAAAATGAATGTTGAATAGAAGAGACTCCAAGCTTATTATAGCAAATACAGTTACTCAGGCTGAGTACAATATTTACATCCATGCATTAGTTCTGTAGGTGTTCCAAAATTTCCAAAATTGATTAAAACTGAAGCAGACGTGCTGGGCTGTGTGGATACTTAATCATTAGTACAGAGAATTTGTTTCTTAGCTAGAAATGTGAGATCAGTACCAAGGGTAATACATATGGCACTCAAAAGAGAGTTAGTTGCAAAAGTGCACCTTAGTTCATGTCAAAGTATGAATTAACCAATTATAAAATGTACTTCATTTTCTTGATTAAGTTGTTTAAATGCTTTTCCAATGAAAAATATTATATAATTGGGTACAAGTAAAAGCAAAAGTTTTCTTAATAGGAAAGCTGTTACTTAATGTTGTGGCACTTACTCTTTTATAAACCTTTTAACAAGAAAATATTCTCCAAAAAATTCTCTCTCTCTTCTTTTTTTGTTTTTTAAATGAAATTAGTTGACTGTATTATTGTTATGATTGTATGGTAAGTATAACTTTCATTGGCTTTACTTTCTTTTTGGTTTGATAAACAATTGATTATTTCCATTAAATCTTTTCAGCTTGTGAAAGTTTTCTTCTTTTATATCATTTTCTTATTTTATATTCTGTTTATATATATAAACTCTTAACACTATTTATTTTATTTGTGCCTTTGGACCTTATCTCAAGTGATACAGAGCAGAAGAATGACATTATTTGAATAATTACTTCTCCATTTGTGTTACATTATCATGTTTATATTATGAAATTCTAGTACTGTTATCCAAATTTTGGAAAATATCAACTTAAATCAATTGAGTGTGTCAATCATTAAGCCATGTGGTTGCATGGTATATTTGTTAGTATTTGTTCTTCGCTCAATGTACATGATATTTTTCCTTTCTGAGACTAGTGTGTTTCCTCTATTTTTTTTTCTTCTTTTATGGGGTTTAATGAAGGAACTCGAGTTTGAATGTGTTCCAAGATCCCTCATGGAGCAAGTGCTCAACTTTTTAAATGTAAGACCCGATTGCTCCTTGCTGCTTTTTTTTATTTTTATTTCTTGTCTGTTTCTTTTCCTTTTTCTTCTTGGCTTGGAATCATATTTTCCAGTTTTGCAGGATGTCAGGGAAGACCTGAGATGTTCAATGGCAAAGGATATAGTGACTATCAAGAATGAGAGCTTAAAAATTAGTGAAGATCCTGACTGCACAGAGATATTGCATAATCCTGGCAAAGAAGAATTACTTCCCCAGCTGCATAAAGATTCATCATTAGATTTTCAGAAAAAAATTACTCTCTCCAAACATGAGAAGCAAGATGCCAATTCCAGTTCACTTTCGAGAAATAGAGAAACATACAAACAACTTTCAGGTATGTATAAAGTCTGATAACTAATTACATGAAGAGGAAAAGAACATATTTTTGTCCTCTTTTGTAGTTACTACTGTTGTATTTCAATTAGTATCATGTATCCAAGAACCATATGTCTCTATTTATTTGTCCATTCATTCTAAATAAAAGTCCTTAATGGATGTAAATTTGGTATTTATGTGAAAAGCAGAAATGGAAAAGGAAGATGAGCTTTTTGATCAGGCATTGCAGTCTAGAAGTGTGACCATGGAAAAAATAAGGGCAAGTCAGCAGCATTTTGTCCTTGTTGCATCATTAATCGATCGCGTGCCAAACCTTGCCGGTTTGGCACGGACATGTGAGGTATACTGTAGCCTGATGGTGCTTATCATATTATTATTGATTTATCACAAAGGGTGGTGGTGTGGGTGGAATCAAGATTTTAATCTTTAGGGGTGAGGACAGTTAAGTACTGTTTACTATTTCAATATGGAAACAGAAGTCATATGGAAAAAATTCATCAGCATTATGAATTTTAATGTAATTTATTTCTATAAAAGGTAGAATAATTCCTAATGTTACCAAAAATATGTCATAATACAACAAAATATATACGTTTAAGGGGTTAAATTTTTCTATTCTGCTTTCCAAAACTCTGGCTGTTAGTGGGCTCTGTCCTAGTGTTTTGCAGTTTTACTTGGCGTATCAATTTTTTATGCCAATGTTGTTCCTCACAGGTATTTAAGGCATCTGGATTAGCCATTGCTGATGCAAACATATTGCGTGACAAACAGTTCCAACTCATCAGGTATTGATAATCATTCACTAACGTTTTTTTTGTAACTCTGCATTTTCCATCTGCAGATTCTTGATATTAATTGCTACAGTTCTATAAACAGCATAAACATAGAATGGTAGTTTTTCTTTGGCAAGTTATAAATAGCGACAGGCTATTTAAATTTATTTATTTATTTTTTAGTGCAAGTCATGCAAACATTTTCTTTTTCCCAGTGTGACAGCAGAGAAGTGGGTTCCTATAATAGAAGTCCCTGTTAATAGTGTGAAGCTTTTCTTAGAGAGAAAGAAACGTGAAGGCTTCTCCATCCTGGGGTTAGAGCAAACCGCAAACAGTATACCTCTTGATCACTACAACTTCCCAAAAATGACGGTATGTTATCTAATCCAATTTCATTTTCTTTTCCCTCTTTGGGTGTTTCTTTGCATTTCAGTTGTCATTGTGCATCAGTAAAAATCTTAATTTACAGAAGAAATTTATCTAACTTTTTCCGACTCGCCAGGTATTGGTCCTTGGGCGTGAAAAGGAGGGCATACCTGTGGACATAATCCACATGTTGGATGCTTGCATTGAGATTCCACAACTAGGAGTTGTTAGATCACTCAATGTCCATGTCAGTGGCGCTATTGCTCTCTGGGAGTATACTCGACAGCATAGAGTCCAGTAGTTAATTATTCTTGATAGGGGAATTCTTTAAGATATACACATAGGGTGCTTATTCTTCCTGATATGTTGACACTGTTTGCAAATCACGGGTCAACTTGTTACCGCTCTGTAATTTTGGTATGTAACCTTTGTTTAATTGGAGATGTCCTCTTATTAGGTTTTCTTCTCATTGTTTGGACATATGGAATATGGGCTAAAGAAAAATTAGATGAATAGTTATAAATTATAATTCTAATAGTTATGTAATCATTAGAATAATATATTTATGACATTTTGAATGTGGTGAAATGAAATTTCATCAAGAAACAAATATTGCTTTTGATTAAAACCAATGAGATGAAATTTACATGCTTACATCATACGAGACAAATGTTGATGGTATGAGAAGCTATTTTGTTTGCTTATTTATTCAATTTGGTGTTAACCTTAGTGGAATAGGATTGTATTCTCATTGCTGTGCAGTCTTTCTAGAGAGCTAGAAAAAAGGAGGTTTCCTGCATGTACCTGAGTGGTTTGAAAATGAGAAAGACATGGATGGTTGTAACTGCATGAACTTTTGTTGCAACTTTTCACTGTAGTACCTAAAATTCTATCAGAGTAAATATATGATAAAGAGACTGTCACCTGATCCAAATTATTTTACTTATTGCTTTGATGCTTTCTTAAACATAAGACACTATCCCCTTATTTAAGCCAAATGCCTTCTGGCATCTTCATTCTCTTCATCTCTTTCATTATAATCTCGGACTATCTAGCTTTAGAAGCCAAGGTCTTCATGGTTTTAATGGATGAAGAACCTACAATTTCTCTCCAAACTGAACAATCTTATCCAAGGTTAGTATTTCCTTCAATTGTGGTACAGTTCATTTTCCAATAGATTATCTCATGGTGTATTTTTCTTCCTCTGTTTTGGTTAATTTGTTATTTTGCACATCACCATTCACCATAGGAATTCTATTGATGATGTGGTGGTGTACAAAGAGAGGATCAGTAATGGACATGACATATTATTGGAGTCTCTCCTTCATAGAGATTCCTACACCAAACTCTACAGCTACACTCATTTGATCAGTGGATTTGCAATCCACGTTGAGTCTGAAGAGGTACATTTATTTTGTGCAAATTCAACTGTGATATATTTGAAATTCTTACAAATGTAAGTATCAAAGTTTACTTATTAGAACCTTAGACTGATGTTGAACTTACAGTCGATTCGCTCAACATTACTTCAGCATTTGCAAGTCCTTGTCTTTCTACTTTAGCTAGTTGATGTATAAGCTGCAATACCCCTGTATGCTTTGTTGTAAGTACTGGAAATGTTGTTTTTAGTGCCCGATATATGCATTGATTAATTTCTACTACAAGAGAAATTTTGGAGATAAAAAAAATTATATTTTTTAGAAAAAAGATCGGAATTATAAGAGTGGTAACTTATTTCTTCTCAGATTCTCAACACTCTTCAAAATGCAAAGGGAGTTAGTGCCATCTATGAAGATGCAAAAATGAAGAAGCTGACAACACATACCCCTGAATTCCTTGGAATTCCTGCCCAAGTTTGGCCGACTTTAGGAGGAGCTGACAATTCAGGCGAAGGGGTGGTAATAGGCTTTATTGATACTGGCATTAATCCTGTACATCCTAGTTTCTCTAGCAGGTCCTTTAGGGGCACTCTGAGTAGAGGTAAATTCAAAGGGATGTGTGCTGCTGGGGAGAGGTTCCCCATGGCAGCATGCAATGGTAAGATAGTTGGAGCACATTATTTTGCACAAGCAGCGATTGCTCATGGTGATTTCAACTCTAGTCGTGACTATGCATCTCCCTTTGATGCTGATGGTCATGGAAGGCAAGTTGTGTCATGCTAAGACAGTAATACCCTGATAAATATCTTCCACTTCTGTGATCATTGTTTTTGTTACGGATAATAATTTAGCTGTCCTTACAAATAATCTCACACAGAAGCTTCTGATATAACATTATTTCATCTATGCTTATTTCAGCCACACAGCATCAACAGCTGCAGGAAACCACCGAGTACCAGTAATTGTTAATGGCTTCAATTATGGATATGCAAGTGGCATGGCTCCAGGAGCAAGGTATTTAAAAGGAAAAAAAAGGGGGTGGCAATTTTTTCCTTTCAGTAGTGACCGTTTTGTGTTTATCAATTTTATGAGACTCGTATATATTCAAGGATAGTTTGCTGAAGTTCTATACCAGGAGTTTTATGTCAGTTCTCCATCTTTTCTCTTTTAACAGGATTGCTGTGTACAAAGCTCTTCATACTTTTGGAGGCTATATGTCTGATGTTGTGGCTGCTATTGATCAGGTCTGTAAATTTGGGAAATGAAAGTTCTCCATAAATTAGCATCGACTGGATAGAATATGCTAAAATTTTGTATCTTTTAAAAATTAAAAATCAGAAATATTATGAGGCTATATAAATTCAAAAATTTTTGCTTGCTCTAGGCAGTGGAAGATGGAGTGGATATAATAAGTCTCTCTATAGGCCCATCCACCATCCCTTCTGGTCCTACTGCTTTTCTCAATTTACTAGAAGTGGAGCTCTTGTTTGCTGTAAAAGCTGGAGTTTTTGTTGTCCAAGCTGCCGGAAATGGTGGCCCTCATTCCACTTCAATGCTTTCTTTCAGCCCATGGATCACAAGCATTGCTGCATCTGTCACTGACCGGACGTACATCAACGCAATCCAGTTAGGCAATGGAAAAAGCTTCTCTGGCTCTGGCCTTGCTCGTAAATTTCAGTTCATAAACATTCTATTCATTAAATGTGAAGAAATTTTTCTTTAAAATCTTGAAAAGGAACTTTGCTTTTATCAGATTAACTTCAAGTAAAATTTATAGAAGTAAGTCTGATTTTTATCATTGTGCAGCTCCAACAGCAGGAATAATGCATTATCCTATAGCAGCAGCTGCTGATGCCTCTCTTAGGAGCACTACCATTGGCATTGCATCACTTGAGAGCTGTCAGCATCCAGAGCTCTTCATTCCATCCCTAGCCAGAGGAAAGCTAATTATCTGCACATATTCATTTGATTTTGAGTACGAAGCTGCAACTGTTACAACTGTTGCAGATAACATTAAGAAGATAGGAGCTGCAGGATTTATCCTCAGAATGGACCCCGATGTAGGTTCTACGCCAGTTAATGGTACTACAATGACCCTACAAGTCCCTGGAATTATCCTAAACAACGTTCAGGCTTCAATGGTATGGAGCATTATTATTTAAATACAAATATCATTTCTAATCTACATAATTAAAATTTTCGGATTTTAAGGCTACCTTTGAAGGTGGCCGGTTCCATTCTTTGATACAACTCTTTGGGTAAATTGATTGTAAATCTTAAAGATTTTCCTGTCTTTTCTAATTCTTCCTCCATATGACCTGTTTCTTGATCAAAATTGATTTTTTTTAAAGCCAGCTAATGAATAACAACAAACGACCTAAAAATGGATGATTTCTGAATTTGCATTATCTGTTGGGTATGCAGGCTCTTTGGGAATATTACAACACCAATACCATAAGAAGCAGGAGTGGGCAAGCCGTCATTTTTAATGCAAGGGCAAGACTACTTGATGGAAGGCAAGCGATTTATACTGACCAGGCACCAATGGTGGCATCCTACTCTTCCAGAGGTCCTGATGTGGACAATGCACTTTTGCAGACAGCTGATGTCCTCAAACCCAACGTCATGGCCCCAGGGTCTTCAATTTGGGCCGCATGGAGCCTCAATAGTGAGGGTGATCAACTTATCAAAGGTAAAAAACATCTCTTGTCATCTATTGCATCAGCAGCAGCATCAAAATGGCCCCCTAAATTAAATTACAATCTGATAGTTTATAATTTTCGTTATTCGTAAAAAAATACACCATAACAAATTGACCTTTCACCTTAAATAACCGTGTGTCATAGTTGATTCATGAACATTTCAACCAGACTGAAGTGTTTTTTTTTTTTTTTTTTTTAAAAAAACCTGCTTCAAGGTTTTAGCTGGTCATATGGGAATTATTGATAGCAAATATATATAATTTGTTGAATAGAAACTGATTATACATATTTGTCATTGTTTCCAGGGCAGAATTTTGCACTGCTTACTGGTACCAGCATGGCTACCCCTCATGTAGCTGGCATTGCTGCTTTAATCAAGCATAAACACCCCAAGTGGAACCCTGCTGGTATTACATCGGCAATGATGTCAAGTGCTGATGTAACTGATCACTCTGGCTCTCCCATCTTGGCACAATCAACTGACGAGCTAGTTCAGGCCACGCCATTTGATTTTGGTGCTGGATTTATCAATCCAGCTCGAGCTATTGACCCAGGACTCATATTCAATGCATATTTCCAAGATTATGTGCAATTTCTTTGTGCTGTTCCAGGTGTTGATGATGAATCTATAAGACAAGCAGTAGGAATTGGGTGCCCAACGACAAGAAAATTATGGTGCTCGGATTTAAACACCGCAAGCATAACTGTTTCAAATCTTGTTGGGTCAAGGAAGGTGATTCGACAGGTAACAAATGTAGGTGGAAAAAATGAAACTTACAGGGTGACTGTGAAGCAACCATCAGGTGTGAAAGTTACTGTTATGCCACAGGTTTTTAAGATACAGGAAAATGGTTCAAGGCGGCTAAAGATTGTATTAAAAGCCATGGAAGCAACAAGAGCTTACTCATTTGGAGAGATGCTATTGCAAGGAAGTAATAAGCATGCTATTAGAGTTCCTATAGCTGTTTATGTGAGCACCTCTATTGGATTTTGAATTTATCAATTTAGAACTTTAAAATATGTGAAACATGTATTTCCTCTTGAACCAAACATTTCTGAAGAAAGTTGGATAAAAAACTGTCGTCAATCTATTTACTAATTCTCTCCAATAGCAAATCTTATGTGAATTTTTGAACATTAACCGTCTATCATAAAGAGAAATATTCTATATACCAATTACAAGCAAGCTAAAAATAAAAAAAATAATCACAATGAAAAAGAATTAAGTGTTCCTTAATTGTATATTAGTAAAGTTTGATCGTATATATATATATATACAAGTAGATGAACCTGTATATCTAATGCTATTCCGTCCAAGATGAATGTTTTCTTCTCCATTTTCTTCTAGTTGCATAAGGCGTTGGATGCTTTATCTATGCTTGCGGAATGCTGAGAACAGTTTTGGAATTATGAATCTCTTCTTCTTTTGTATCTGAAAGAATTAATTTGTTGGATTTAGAGTTTTAAACTAGTATATAATAATAACACACCAATGCTTTTCTTACCTCTAAGCTTTTCATAAGAGCTTTCATTTTATTGGTTGTAGTAGATCCACCATGCTTCTGTTTCTTTCTGGCTTTTCTAGCTTTGGGACTTGTCAAAGACCAGATAAAACTTGGAACCAGAAGTTTCCAGTTGCCCAGACAACTAGGAGTCCTTGAATAGCTAGGCTTTCTATGGAGTACAGCAACAGTCTACAAAATCAAGAAATACATTGGTGAAAGAGTATTAAAGGCATGGAGGATTACCATCTTCAAAGTTCAAATTGAACACTTGCGATGCCAATTTTAATTAAGCCCTGTATAATTTTTATCAGTAAAATACATTGTATTATATGGCAGGGTATATATATCATAGGTAAGATTAGTTTGATACTTTAGTTGTCGGTTGCTGATTCTTGGGAGAGGTTGGCTTTGGAAGTAAGAGAGTAGTGGATGATGAAGAAGAAGAAGATGCAGCTGGTCGAACAGACTCCCTTAGACTCTGAGAATACCGAAGAAGCTCAGCTCTCCTATTATATCCTTTACCAGAACCACGAATTACCTCTCGATTGTTGAAGTGATGAAGATAATGGTGATGGTGGTGGTGGTGGTGGTGTTGATTTGATAGCACCCTTCTCCTCCTTGGCTTCTCCACATACACGGTGATCAACACTGCCTTTTCCCTGCAAAATTTTGCCTGAAATATCGAAATCACCCCACCGGCCATGTAATTCGTTCAGTTCATAGCTATAGCACATAAACTGAAAGAAAGAGATATGATCTTACCATTTTGGTTGGTATGTTGAGACCTCAGGCACAGGAAGTATAAATTTTTTGTTCAAAGTGGGAGTTGGGGTGTATGTATTTATGTGCATAAATAAATTAATAGTTCAATGTAAATGTATGTATGCATGCATGCAGAGGAATTATATTGTTAGAGAAAGTGATGGAGATGCGAGGCCAAACAGAAAAAGAGGCCGGCCAACATCAACCCTTTGGTTTGATCGATCAGCCGAAAACATTACTAAACGTCGAAGCTAAAATTAATTAAAAGAATTAATAAGGTGAGACTATAATGACCAAGTCTCTTTCACATGTTTTTGGGTTCCACTTGGCTACCTAATCACCATATCCACATGAAGACTCTACCTAATCTTGTTTAGTAATTACAAATTAAGGATTAACCCCAAATGATTTCCCGGCTAGCCTGGCTTATTCCTAATTAAGTTCTAATAACAAACCAATATATATACTAACCAAATATACAAGAATTCATTTATGTTAGAATTAATTTATCATAAATTATATGTCTTTTAAGGAGGGTGGATTTGGCTTTTCTTGGACACCGTTGGAACAATCATACGGTCATGTTTTTTTATATTCAACTGCTGATTGTCTCCATGGAAAAGAACAAGTACTTGATTTATTGCATAATTCTAACTCCAAAGTCCAAGCTTTCCCAAGGAAACGCCGAGCGTCTTTAATGTTTACATTTAATTTTCTACCCGTAATCTGTCTCTATCCCCCCATAAACTTCTTGCCTTATTTACTAAAATTGTTTTTATTATGTTATTATTCTAATCCTTCATTTAAGAAGGGATGTCAAAAAAATTCATGTGTTTAGGGTTCTCTAGAGCCCTACCCAAGTGGGTTGCAGTTAAGTAGTGAAAATTTTGGGTGGATCAACTTTGAATCTGAATATCTTGACCCAAATTAATTTGGTGTATGGATGTGAATAGGGGTGGGAGGGTCTAGGTACCTGCCCACAATCAAAGGAACCGAAATCAGAACCGTGACATGCCAATTTCTTAGATTTGGAACTGAAATCGGAACCAACCGGATTCGGTTCCTAGAAACCTAGAACTAGACCTAAAACATAGGTTTCAGTTCCAGTTTCGGATACCCAGGATCATTTTAATTACCCATACTTTTTTAAAAATGACAAATAAACCCTTTAAAAATTACAATGCACCGCTAATAGTTTATAGATAGTACAAATACACCCCAACATCTTTCAATCCAATGGCTCTCCTTTCATCATAAGCCCTAGCCTCTACCCCTCTTGCCACAATCTCCATAAACACACTTCGCTCTCCCTCTCACAACCCGGGGGAGGGGTGTTGGGGTTTGAAACAGAACCGCATAGTGTCCCCCACTCCAGGAATCGAAACCCCGATTACCTACTGGTTCTGGTTCCGACCAGTTCTTCTGCACACCCCTAGATGTGAATGCTAACTCTGATCACAATTTGCTCTATATGAATTTAAAAAATATAACTATATATGAATAGTTATTAAACTTTGAATAAATATCAATGTTACTTTTTTCTTAGTTCCTTCATTTTTAAGATATACAAAAGCAAGGGCAGAGCCATAAAATATTTTTTGAGAAGGCCAAAATGTCATCTTCAATGAATAATAAGGCCAAAACTAATCAAAAAGTTACATTTACTGAGGTTATGGTGTTATGAGGTTAGAGGGCTTTTGTAGAGTTGAGGTTGGTGGTTCAATGGATAATGTTGGATTGAATTTTACATGTCGGAATAAGCAGGAATTTGGCTGAAAAATTCAACTCACTATAGGAGTCTCATTCGGTGAACATTGGGCTATCAAGTGTCGAGATTAGAGAGGTTTTGTAGAGTTGAGGCCGGTGGTTTAGGTGGTAGTGTTTGATTGAATTTTGGATGCTGGAATAAGCTGGAATTTTGCCAGAAAAATCAACCTAATCGCGGCAATGTTCATGAGTCATGACTGGCGAACGGAGGGCTACCAAGTTCTAGGTTAGAGGGGTTTTGTAGAGTGGAGGTCGGTCGTGTTAGTGTAGGTGCCCTAGAGCCAATCGAAATTGTAATAATTGACTCTATGTAAAAACATGTTGATATTAATAAAAGCCAATTTATCTATATCATTCAGTTTATGCTTATATAAATATTGACATATGCCCGTAGAATGGTATAATCATGAGGAGGGTATCAAAAGCTTTAAATCTTGATTGTAAGGACCTCTGATCACATAAGATGGCCATTCTAGAATTGTTCATAGCCCTAGTATTATCCTGAAGTAAGGGCACAGATAATAAAGTAAAGTTATCATAGCGTTGAACGACCCTATCGAAAAATGGTAATAGATTTTACATGTTGAAGTTGTTTGGTGATAACTTGGTGCAATGCATGGGTGCTTGTATGTGATAAGTTCACTGAACAAACCCATAAGAGGATTTTATATAGATGGTAACCCCATTATCTATGGAGTATATCCTCTGACGAATGGTAGTGCATGTGATCCTTAGACTTGAGATCACCAGAGCGTCGTGTGTAAATATCGGTGTAGTTTGACACTAGTCTAACATAGTCCTATTTAGGATTATCAGTACGATAGTAGTTGGCTAAATTGAGAAGTACACTATGGCTATGGTGGATCGACATAAGATTCATCACTTCTGGGTACAGGAGAATTATCTTGCTGAGTAATTTGGTGAATGATGACCGCAAAAGCTATGGCCACAGTGGAATTGAGTTGCTGCTCAAGTCTAATTTTATTTAGTCATTAGTTTGATTATCGAATACAAACATATCAAGGTATTGTATTTGAAGTTGACATTATTTCTGTACTTCAAATCTTGATGAGATAAGAGTTGATGATGAAATGATTAGATTGCACGGTAACCATATCATCGATAGGAAGTTGTATCATTGAATCCGAATATATCGGATGCCCATGATGCCTTGCTAGAAGCCAATCTTGTTCTGTGTTTAGTGGAATGATTAATTGAGTGTTAATTGCAATACTATTCACTGCCAGTATGATGAGGAGCTTACAGGTCATACACATAGAAGACAGATTAAGAATTAATAAGTGAGAAGGGTATTTTTATCTTTTAAGATGAAATTATATTTTTGTAATCTTACAGTGTAATTAAATTTATTGTGGTTATTGCCTATATTTAATTTTATATGGAAATTAAATTAGTGAGATTACTTATTTAAATATATGTGTATATTTAAATGTGATATTATTATTTAAGATTAATATATTTAATATATATTAATTTTAGGATAATAATTATATTAAATAAAATATCTATTTAACCTTGTTTGGTTGTGGGGGGTTTCCTTGATTTATTGCATAATTCTAACTCCAAAGTCCAAGCTTTCCCAAGGAAACGCCGAGCGTCTTTAATGTTTACATTTAATTTTCTACCCGTAATCTGTCTCTACTCTCTATCCCCCCATAAACTTCTTGCCTTATTTACTAAAATTGTTTTTATTATGTTATTATTCTAATCCTTCATTTAAGAAGGGATGTCAAAAAAATTCATGTGTTTAGGGTTCTCTAGAGCCCTACCCAAGTGGGTTGTAGTTAAGTAGTGAAAATTTTGGGTGGATCAAATTTAAATTTGAATATCTTGACCCAAATTAATTTGGAGTATGGATGTGAATAGGGGTGGGAGGGTCTGGGTACCAGCCCACAATCAAAGGAACCGAAATCAGAACCGTGACAGGCCAATTTCTTAGATTTGGAACTGAAATCGGAACCAACCGGATTCGGTTCCTAGAAACCTAGAACTAGACCTAAAACATAGGTTTCAGTTCCAGTTTCGGATACCCAGGATCATTTTAATTACCCATACTTTTTTAAAAATGACAAATAAACCCTTTAAAAATTACAATGCACCGCTAATAGTTTATAGATAGTACAAATACACCCCAACATCTTTCAATCCAATGGCTCTCCTTTCATCATAAGCCCTAGCCTCTACCCCTCTTGCCACAATCTCCATAAACACACTTCGCTCTCCCTCTCACAACCCGGGGGAGGGGTGTTGGGGTTTGAAACAGAACCGCATAGTGTCCCCCACTCCAGGAATCGAAACCCCGATTACCTACTGGTTCTGGTTCCGACCAGTTCTTCTGCACACCCCTAGATGTGAATGCTAACTCTGATCACAATTTGCTCTATATGAATTTAAAAAATATAACTATATATGAATAGTTATTAAACTTTGAATAAATATCAATGTTACTTTTTTCTTAGTTCCTTCATTTTTAAGATATACAAAAGCAAGGGCAGAGCCATAAAATATTTTTTGAGAAGGCCAAAATGTCATCTTCAATGAATAATAAGGCCAAAACTAATCAAAAAGTTACATTTACTGAGGTTATGGTGTTATGAGGTTAGAGGGCTTTTGTAGAGTAGAGGCTGGTGGTTCAAGGGATAATGTTGGATTGAATTTTACATGTCGGAATAAGCATGAATTTGGCTGAAAAATTCAACTCACTATAGGAGTCACAACCGGTGAACATTGGGCTAGCAAGTGTCGAGATTAGAGAGGTTTTGTAGAGTGGAGGCCGGTGGTTTAGGTGGTAGTGTTTGATTGAATTTTGGATGCTGGAATAAGCTGGAATTTTGCCAGAAAAATCAACCTAATCGCGGCAGTGTTCATGAGCCACGACTGGCGAACGGAGGGCTACCAAGTTCTAGGTTAGAGGGGTTTTGTAGAGTGGAGGTCGGTCGTGTTAGTGTAGGTGCCCTAGAGCCAATCGAAATTGTAATAATTGACTCTATGTAAAAACATGTTGATATTAATAAAAGCCAATTTATCTATATCATTCAGTTTATGCTTATATAAATATTGACATATGCCCGTAGAATGGTATAATCATGAGGAGGGTATCAAAAGCTTTAAATCTTGATTGTAAGGACCTCTGATCACATAAGATGGCCATTCTAGAATTGTTCATAGCCCTAGTATTATCCTGAAGTAAGGGCACAGATAATAAAGTAAAGTTATCATAGCGTTGAACGACCCTATCGAAAAAT